ACTGACTGACCTATGTTCAGGGCAGTCAGGGGGTTGGGAACCTCACCCTGCAATGAAGGAGTGTGTGTGTGTGTGTGTGTTTGTGTGTTTCCATGCATGGTATTTATTGCTAGATTGGAAAGACATGTACATGTAATTTGTATGCTTTTGTATGATTTTTGTGTGATGTATCTGACCTTATGTTTTTATTATTTAGCATGTGTGTTTGATGTGAATTTATTTATTTATTTTGAAAGAAAACTTTTCATAATGTGTTAATGTTTCAGGAAAGTTATTGCAACGGGTAAACCTGTTGGCAAATGGGCATTATTATAGGCTATAAAGTAGTAAAGGAGTTTTATACAGATAAAATATTATACAAACTGATGGGAATTTACCAAGTAACTACCAGATACATAAAAGAAATTAAATCTGAAAGATTTAATCCAGTATTAGCACCTATAATACCTCTGAAAATAAAACTTTTAACTGCTTCATTTTTTCCTAATATTTTTCTTAACTCTCTCTCAAATACAGTGCTCTCAAAATCCCCAAAGAATTAAGGGCATCAGAAACCCAATACTAGGTATATGCAGATAAAAGAGCTACAAATACAGACTCAGACTTGAAAGTTTAACATAAAAGTCACTTAAACTTAACCGATCATAAGATTTTTGTGTACTGAATACTGTATATGAGGAGTTTATGAATCATTATGTTTGCCAGTAGGGTGAAAAAATCAGCAACATATAGTAATTTTCCTATCAAATTTGTCCCTCTAAGGTACAGTTGTAACAAAGCTGGAGTGCCAGTATGTGTATTACATTTGCTTATGCAGGGACACAGCAAAGACATTTATGTGTTTGATGCTTCAGCATCCACTTTGTTGTGCTTACTTATTGGTGTAATGAACAAGCAACACAGATCACCTATAATACATAAGTCTCCAAAGAAATTAATTGGAAATTGCATTAAATACTGGTTTAGTCAGCAACAGTTGCTGTAAGGAGACAAATCTCATTATGCATTATTTTCTTCAATGATCTTCAGTTTGAGAAACTGCAGAGAAGAAAGCAGTCTTAGGATTTGAATCATAGTAAAATGGATAGTTCTTCGAAATCTGGGTACTACAGTAGCAAAACCACAGACACAGGTAACCCCATCCAAAACACAGCCCTTTATTTACTTGGTGAGTCAGGATGAACACTGGCTAAGACAGGACTTGTTAAAGTCAAAAGCCATCCGGGGAAACTGGCCCAAGGAATAAGGTGCTACTGATGACAGGGAAGAAATAAAATTGCATTGGGTGATTAACTGCATATTTTACTGAATGACTCTGACTTTAAAAAGCCAAATAGTACATTGTGTTTCCTCAGATACTAACCAGAAAGTTACAGAGTCCTACATAATTTGGAGACATAAAGCGATTGCTAAGTGACTAGAGGTTACTCCAGGCATATAATTTTACAAAGTTAGTCCTTAGAGTAAGTGGTACCATGGCTCTGGCAGCAGATCCAAAGGAGGAGGTAGGAACATTCTGTGAGCAGTCAAGAGATAGAGGAGGGTCTCAGCAGGAGGTGGGGTCTTGAAATGGGTGGTTTATCTTCCACAACTGAGGCCTTTGTCTTCCTAAACGGTAATTTCATTAACTTGAAGTCCTCTCTCAATGGTGTTACCAGGAGGCCTTGGGGAGCATACAGCTTCTCATATAGCTCTTGGATATACTTGGAGCCTTTTTTCAGAACCTTATCACGGATTTTCATTTCCATGCGTAAGAAGGTATTTGCTGTTAAGCTAAATAGCCTTGAAATCTGGGACCCCCCCCCCCCCCCGTCGCCCCAGTTTCCTGCTTCTCATAAAGGTTATCTGGAGTTTTCACAGTTTCTTCAAGCTGCAGCCTATCAGTCCGGTTCTCTGGATCCAGGGGAACTTGGTCTGGAACTGGCCCTGTGCGCCAGAGGTGTGGTCTCACTGAGTAAACACCTTTCCCGGGCACCTGCACCTGCTGCACCCTCACGGTAGGGTAGGGTGGGACTGGCTGTACTGCGTGTGCGGGGAGGGAGGCGGCGGGGGTCAGATCCTCTGCCAGGACCCTCGACTTCAGCCGCCAACGTTCAAGCCTGCCTGTTGCCTGAAGCGGGCTCACTCCTGTTCTGGCCATGCTGCTGCAGCAGGCTGCCAGCCACCGACTGGGGAGGCTCCTCATCCTCCACGCGCCGCCATTCCGGTTCGGCCTGGACATAGCTGTGTGAATTTAGGTTTTTATGTTCCTGGTTGTGTTATGTTTATGATGCAGGTGTTTTTGTGTGTCTGTGTAAGTTACTTGTACTTTGTGTGTTAAATCTTGTGCACTTTTTTGTGTTTTGGTTTTATGACTCTGGATAACTGAGCCACATAACTACTGTCTTTTCTTTTTTTCTTTCTTTCTTTCTTTTTTTTTTTTTTTTGGTCTTTTTCCGTTTTATTGGTACCAGGGATTGAACTCATGACTGCCTGCTTGCAAGGCAGGCGCTTATGCCACTGAGCTAAATCCCCAGCCCCCTACTGTCTTTCTTAGGTCAGTTACAGATGGCAAAAAGTCATAAATCAGCATTTAAGTATGTGCATGTGTGCGCGCATGTGTCTGTGTTTCATTTGTGTGTTTTAAAAGCTCATAATTGGCCTTTATGTCCTCAAGTATTTCACTGAGTGTCTTCAAACAATTATTTTCCTGCATTGAGCAGGCAGGTTCACATGTGTTTTTACCACTGTGCAGCTCATATCTAATGGGTAAGAGCTTGGTTTCTGTGTTAAGCTTACATTTTTTTTTTTTTTTTTTTGGTATCAGGGATACCAACCTCATGCTTGCGAGGCAGTCACTTACCCCGCTGAGCTAAACCTTGTACATTTTGTGACCCTGGCAAGTGACTTCACCCTATGAGATTCAGCTTCCTGTTTAGTAAAGGAGGGCTAACTAATCCTACCTTTTTATCTTTGTTATTGGAGATTGAGCCCTGGACCTTCTCACTAACCTTTCTCAATCTTTTTTTAAACTTTTAATTTTGAGATGAGATATTGTTAGGTCACAAAACCATCCACTCAAACTTGTAGTGCTTCTGCCTCATCCGCTAGAGGGCTAGGAATGTAGTCCTGTGTCACCAGCCCCAGGTAGTCCTATTTTATCATAATACTTTGACCAATAAATGAGCCAGTATATGCAAATTATCCAGCACCATCCCTGGTACTTGGTGATCGGGAAAAATAGGTAGCTTTGTTGCCTTTCCCAAAATCTAGTGCTTGCATCGCAGAGGCTCCTTGCTTTGACATTGTCTAAGGAAGAACGAGTAGTTGTCAGAGAAGACTGGCTTGCCAAAGGTCTCCTTTCACACCGCAGCACTACAACCTGACCCTTTATGACACAAGGGCCCACCTGCTTTCTTGTGAGATCAGGTACCTGGTTGGTTCTCACCCTCTGGTGTTTTCTGGTTTCTTGGTGAGGATGGATGACTGGTCAGTGGGTAGCCAAGTTCTTATCAGCATCCAACCACTGTCCTGCTTGGTGGCCATGAACTGAGATAGCCCGTGTTCCTGGGAAAGTCTCAAAGATAACTTATTGTTGTGTTCCTTTACATGATATTCCTTCTTTTGGATATGGGTTTAGAAATATTGAATCTAAAATCCATTATCAATTAGCTGAGTGACCTTGGGTTGGTCATTTGTGGCCAAAGTGTTTTCATATCTATGAAATGAAGAACATCATATTTACTTTATGCACCTGAAAGTTTTAGACTATATATTTATTTTTTTGGAAAGAAGTTTAAGTACAGTATGTGAAAGTCTTGGAAGTTGCATGATGTGAGTAGCAAGGAGTTAAGGACTTTTGGACAGAGGTGATAGACATTATATATTGTCTTTGGATATTCTGATGTTAAGCAGTGTGATTCCTATTAGGAGTGGTTTGAAGTTTACATTGTCTACAAATAGGATAGCCACCCGTGCTTTTTTTTCTAGGTTCCTGTTGCATAGAGTATTATTTTCCATTTTTTGACTTTAAATCTATAAATTCCTTTTTTCAGAGCATGCATTATATCAGATACATATATCCTTTCCACTTATTATTCTAAATTGCACATTTAAATACGCCATGATTTTATGATTTATTTTTTCTTTGTTAAATGGATGTAATACCCAGTTTATCAGGCTTATGGTGATATTTTGCCAGAAAGTACACATTTGGCATTGTTATTAATCTTGTTTGGAAACTGGGCTTTAGTTTGTTATTAATTTAGTTTGGAAAACTGTTATTAATTTAGTTTGAAAATCTGGCTTGGACACTTTTGATGACAGGTAATTTTAAATGTGTCAGAACAGGCAGGATCTAGCCAATGGCACTGTATGCTGAACAAAGCTTTAATGACTAAGCCTTAGTAGTTCTGTTTCAATTTAGGAAGCTTAGTATTAATTTTAAAGGACTGGTAACCATTACTTCATTTTCTATTTTTGTGTATTTGATATTTTAGGCACCACAATGAGCAAGGCTATACCATATTTTCTCCTGGGTCCAATTAAGAGAAGCTAAGCTATGCTACAGAAAATAAAGTAAATAAATAATATTCAGCAGTTTAAAGAAATAAATGAAACCCATTTCCTGGTGCCCAATTCTTATTTCAGAGTAAAGTGCTGAGACTTGAATTTGGCTTGATGAACGTACATAACCTACTTCTATGTGTTGCTTGTTCTCAGTTATGTATTTAAGTACTCAGAACATGGATAGTGACTGGGACAAAGCTACTGCTCAATAAATACATGTTAACTAAAGAATTAGTGATCTTTTGTTTCTTTGAAAAGACATTTGCTTAATGTGAAGGTTTGATGAGTCACTGAAACTAGAATGGGAAGATTCATGATTTGTGCACCAAATTGAGAAATAAACAGAAGAAAAGCTAAGAATTTTCACACTAGAAATGAAATTACTACAATGTTATGACTGTGTTCACTGTCATCTTTCCCTTTCTCCAGTTCCCAAAAGACAGCAGAGCAGCATGAGAAGGGAGAACCTGAGCAGCGTGTCCGAGTTCCTCCTCCTGGGGCTCCCCATCCGGCCAGAGCAGCAGGCTGTGTTCTGTGCCCTGTTCCTGGTCATGTACCTGACCACCGTCCTGGGGAACCTGCTCATCATCCTGCTCATCAGGCTGGACTCCCGCCTCCACAGCCCCATGTACTTCTTCCTCAGCCACTTGGCCTTCTCTGACATTTCCCTTTCCTCTATCACAGTTCCAAAACTTCTGGTGAATATTCAGGTTCAGCAGCAATCCATCTCCTGTGAGGGGTGCATTTCTCAGATGCATTTTTTTGTTCTGTTTGGCTGTCTTGACAATTTTCTTCTTGCAGTGATGGCCTATGACAGGTATGTGGCTATCTGTCACCCACTGCACTATGTTGCTATCATGAGAGAGGAGCTGTGTGTCTTGTTAGTAGCTGGGTCCTGGTTTTTCTCTTTTGCCCATGCCCTGTTGCACACTTTTCTTTTGGCCAGACTGTCCTTCTGTGCTGAAAATATTATTGCCAACTTCTTCTGTGACCTCACTGCTCTCTTGAAGGTGAGTTGCTCAGATGTCTCCCTCAATGAGCTGGTCATCTTCACCGAGGGAGGAATGCTTTTCATCTTGCCCTTGAGTAGCATTCTGGGCTCTTACATCCGTATAGGAATCACTGTCCTAACGTTTCCTTCTACTAAGAGAGTCTATAAAACCTTTTCTACCTGTGGTTCCCATCTCTTTGTGGTGTCTTTATACTATGGGACACTTGCAGGAGTCTACTTTTTCTCTTCATCGCGAAATTCCAGTGACAAGGACATAATTGCTTCTGTCATTTACACAGTAGTTACACCCATGCTAAATCCTTTCATTTACAGCCTGAGGAACAAAAATATAAAACAAGCCCTAGAAATGTTTGTCTACAAGGTCAATTTCCATAAGTGACATTTATTTCACTTATTTCACTCATGAGCTCTGTGAAGTCCGTGTCCTAAAATTATCATGTAGTTGACAACTCCATCTAGGTTTACAGTGATTGTACTCTGTTTTTATGTTCAGCACTCTTACTAGGCAGATCGAGTTTGTTAAGTGGCTTCTTATATCTTTTCTGTTCTTAATCAATGTTTGCTTATTTATCATATACAGTAAGATGTATAAAATTGTAAACAAAACATGGTGAACCATTATAGTTGTGGATTTGTCCTTTTCTCCTTTTAGGTATGTCATGTTTTAATTATGTATCTTTTAAACTTTGTAATGGGAGACAATCAGTTTAGCACTATGATTTATTTTTGGTGGGTGACTTTTTGATGTAGGAGTGTGCTGAAGTGGGCTAAGTTCACTGAGATTATTCCTTCCCAGGTGCACAGTTATGACAATTGTGTTGGTGGCTAGAAATCAGCCGTCCTGAGAATACTGACACCATGGAGCTGTTAAATCTTACAGACATTCATTATTTATTTGGCAGGACACCATTACATTTAGAAATAGATATTTCACTTAGTTTTTATTAGTGGCTTCTACTTTAGTATCTCATCTACTTTTGATATTAGCATAGATACACAGTTATTCTAGGATTAGTGAGTACATATGATTTCTTTTCTGTCATTTTACTTGAATTTTTCTATGTTCTTATATATGTGAAATAAATGTTCATTGTAAACAATATAAAGTTCATATGTACATTGTTACTTTCCTGGGAAACTTGCTATACTGTATTTATATTTAACGTAATCATGATTCATTTAAGCTTGTATTTTCCTTCTCACTATCTTTCATTAGGACTTGTTTGTGGTGCATAATGATTACATTCTTGTGTGGATTTTTTACATGTACAGAATACATCTGAATTCTTGTTTCATCTACTCCCCCAATAAAGAAAAAATAAGTTTATATTTTCCATATTTTTGTTTTCTAGTTAGGACAGTTGTTTTACATTTTTCTCTGTATTTTATTAACTAAATATGTCCTTTGTACTCTACTTCACCCCTACTAACTTACTTAATCATACGTTATTATTACTATTTTTCTTTGTGGGTGCTTTTTTCTACTGATTGCTTTTTGCTTCTGTTAAAAATTTTTTTAAATTGCAGCATATCATTTGTAACAAAAAAACCCCGGCCATTTTAACCATCTGTTTGACAACTCAGTGTCATCTAGTAGTAAATTCATAATATGCAATAATAAGCATCACAAAACCCTAAGAGGAAACACATACCTACTAAGCAATCATCTTATCCCTCCTTCCCTAGTCCCTAGCAAACATTAAACTGCTACTGTCTCTGGATTTGCCTGTTGTGGATACTCACATAAATATAACTCTAAAGTATGTGACCTTTTGTGTCTGGGTTCTTTGATTTCACATAATGTTTTCCAGGTTTATTCATTATGTAGCCTGCATGAGTACTTTATTCCCATTTATGGGCAAGGCAGTGAGTATTTCTCAAGCTGAAATAACACACTCAAGGAGGCCCCGCTTCAAACTGAGACATAGATTGTAACGTAGAGGATAGGAATGTGGCTCAATAGATGACAGAAATCATTATTGTGCAGTTTGGATGAAATTTAAGAGAAGGGATCCTATGAAGTTTCGTGGGAATTTGCCCTCTAAATTGTCAATGAAGGTTTTTTCACCGTAAGCTGCCTTACCTGCGGGGAGAAGTTGTTGAATGCTTGTGTGGAAACATAAACTAGATGTTGGAGATGGATTAATGGAAAACTGAATAACAGTAAAAGTCTTCACAAACAAGTGGATGTTTTCCATGAAAGTGTGCAAAGTGACATACATAAAGGAATAAAAGAGTAAAATATATAGAAAAAAGCATAGGTAAATGTTGGAAAACGTAAAACGTAAAAATACATTTTTTGAGATCCAGAAGAAGATATAGAGAAAAATCAGAAATAAATAGCTACTTCTTAACAATTCTGTAATTAGTGAAAGACATCAAGTGATAAGTTGAAGAAATGGGAAATGCAAAGCCATAGGCAAAAATAAACTACAAAATATGCCATAATTACTGAATCCTAAAGATGAATGAAAAATCTTATATATACTAAAAACATGCTCTACCCAATTAAGCTATATTAAGGGCCAGATTAAAAATTGGTAAAGGATCTGAGTAGAGATTTCCTAAAAGAAGACATACAGATGTCCAATAGGTATTAAAAATTTTTGACATCCTTCATCATTAGGGAAGTGCAAATTAAAATCACAGTATGAAACCACCTCGGAGAATAAATAAGAAAGTGTGATTCCATAATGTATAAATAAGTCAATGAAAAAATAAATTCATAAATATAACAAGTTCTTATAGGAAACTACATTTAATAAACATAGAAGATATAATAGTTGCATTTGCTACTTTTTAAAACACAGAAATTATCAATGGGCATTTTAATAACAAGACATTTATTAATATATACTCAGAATATCTGACCAAATGAACTTTATTAACCATAAATATAAAAATAGTAACTTTATAGTTCAGAATCTGAGATACAACATCTTAAACAGTTAATCAAGGATAAAAATGGTAGTAATAGGAAAAAAATGAATATTCATTTGTTTTTTGATAAAATGCGTTCTGGTATATCTACTGAAAATCTATAGCCTGAAATACACTTGCAATACCTGCATACATATGCATGTACATATACATAAAGAAAAAATGGTAGAACACTAACCTTTAGGCAATCTGGATGAAAATCAACTGTCCTTCAATTCCATGTAGAGCAGCATACAGAGAGATATTATCTGTCTTGGGGAGAGGGAAAGAAATCAGTGTTAGACTTGCCTCAGTCCCTAATATCTGCCCCATCACAGTGAAATCCAGCCCCAGGAAGGCCTGCTACTGTCTGTCTCCTGGCGTGCACCTGATGACAACCTGAGCATTCAGATTTGTCCCAGACCCAGGCAAGAACGTGAAGCCCTGTGGAGCGTTCTGCCACTTGCATCACCACTGGCCATTAAATTGGAGAAAATAAATGATTTCTGATGTCCCATGTTATTGTGAAGGAGGCCTTTGTGTTTTATTGCTACAACAAACTAAGGAATTGAGACAATGCTGTCTGTATCCGTCTAGAATATTCTCTACTTGGGAAATAACTTCGGTGTTTCTAAGACCACTAATAAAATATTAGTTGTATTCCTTTCAGGGTTTGAATTCCCAACAAGTAGACTTCCATTCTGGATAGACAGATCAAATTGTTCATCTTTATGTCAACACCACCCTCTCCCATCCATGGGCATAATATGTTTCTTTATATGAACAAAGATATTTCAACATTATTCTCAACAACATTTCATATTTTCAACATACCTGTTTTATGCAGCTTCTGCTAATTATTTAGCGAATGTTTTCTATGTTGGTGGTGTTTTAAATACTGTAAATTAAAATATTTCATTCTGCTTGTTGTTTATATAAAAATCAGATAATTTTTATTGATTGACCTTTACTTTCATTTTGATCTAGAATGACCCCCAAGCCTGTGGCACTATTGGGAGATGGTGGTATCTTTAAGAGGTGGGACCTGGTGGGTAGAAGTTAGGTCACAGAAGTGTGTCCTTGGAGGTGTCTTCAGCATCTGGCCACTTTCCTGTCTGCGTTTCTGAGCTGCTATTCAGTGAACAGGCCTCCCTGGCACGATGTACTATGATGCCACAGGCTCAAAGCAACATGGCCGAGTGACCAAGAACTGACACCTCTGAAATCTTGAACCACAGTAAACCTTTTGTCTTACTAAATTATCCCAGGAATTTTGTTTCAGTGGTGGAAAGCTGACTAACAATGTCATATCCTGCAACCCTATCATTATGATTTATTTCCCCCAAAAAGCCTCTTGTGTTCACAGGTGGGGCTTTTGAAAGATGATTGGATTATAGGGTTTATGGCTGACTTGTTATTAGGAGAGCGCTGCACTGGAAGAGGTGGATCGCTGTGGACCTGGCCTAGAAGGGTTTATCTTTTCCCCAGCACCCCTCTTTCCTCTCTGCTTCATGGTTTGAACTTGCCTTGTTAGGGGTATTATTGAAATAATCATCTTTTTTGTGGTTGTCAGTCCACTTAGAGTTATGTTCTTTGAGATCCTTATTTATCTTGTCTATCAATTTTGTGGTGTAAGCATATGTGAGTATAGTTTACTGCCAAATAATAAGCTGTCACATGGTAAAAGATAGGAATCAAATGCAGGAAGATGGGATAAAATGTAAGGAAGAAGATATAGATAAAAGTCTTCTAGCCATAGAAGGTGTAGAACCTGGGGATGTGTGTCAATTCTTATTTCAAGGAGTTATTATTTCTCATACTGTTTAATGAAAAGAAAAATCATGTAGAGTCACAGATGTTTTTTATCTCCATGAATTTAGGGCAACAGAAAGGAATCAATGGTGTTCTTTTGGTATAAGAATAAAATTTGTCAATCCTTGACTTTCAGGAAAACAGGCAGGCCAATGGGAACATTATAATTAGGGCAACAGTTGGTCAACCATAATCCACAGGCCCTACACACCATGCCTGAAGTCTAAATATCTTACAGGAATTCTACACTCAAGCAGAAATTTCAGGTACAGGTTAATTTTTGACATAAACCAATTAAAATGTTTATAAAAACTAACACATGTTAACCTTGAATAATGACCACATGATATTTGTTTTCTATCAGGCATTGAAGAAATGGAGTTGGAAATGTAAGGAATGGATCTGGGAATCAACTTTGCAAGAGGCTGAGTAGAAAAAACATCACATGGTTATTTTATGGTATTGTGAGAATCTTGCAAGAATAGAAGGCTGACATTGTAGCTTTGGGGCAAGAAAATATGATTTATGAAAACCATATTGCATTCCTCTGTTCCAATGGTGATGATGAGACACAAGATCTCTCACTTTTTTATTCAGAGAGTGAAGGTGCTAAGGTGTTTTGGTGTCTTTGAAATAGTACGGCGTTCAGAAACAAGAGACTGGTTATTACACTACATCTTCACTTGGTTTATTATGGACTCTGGATTACATATTCCCCTTGGTAAACTGATAATCTAAGTTTTTTAGATTACTAAATTTCTAATGGCTGCCTTGTGGTTATGATTGTTATTCCTCCAAAGGTGAATTCTCTAATGGCTGCTTCAAGAAAGTAGTCCTTTCCCTCAAGAGAGTGGCAGGCAATGAAACAATTACATTCTTTTTGTCTCTAATTTGGATGTGGAAATGGAGGATTGTCCCCTGAGTCCTGTCTATGGTTTGTAAAATTAGAACTTACATCAGTTTCTCAGTGGCTGTGAACAAATGCGCATTGATATATCTACCTTGCTTGATTCTTCACTGATAACATGGCCACATGTTGCAAAGTACCCTTAAACCCTATAGAATTTGCCTATTTGACTGCCTTCTATGCCTTTTAGAGAGAAATGGAAACATCCTCCTATGCTTCATAGCTAAAGGTATCTGCGCTGATCATCTAAGGGACTAAGTCAGAGCAGGAGTAGAATTTATATTCAATATGACTGCATACATGGCTTGGTGTGTGTATATATCCAGTGTGAGCTATTGATCCCTGGATTCTATCTTTTCTCAAACCAGGGTATAATAGACCACTGCATGTAAGGTAATTTATCTTGAATTGAGATTGTATCCAAATTTTGAAAAAATAGGACAAAACCCAACCTCTAGGTTAACATCTTTATCTCTGACTCTATAACTCTCTATAATCTCTGATTCTATAACTATTCTTGAGAGGATAGTGAAAAAATAATTTTCTTGGTTACCTTTATTCTCATCAGTCTTACTGATTTTCTTCCAAATTTTATACCAAATCTCTATAATTTTCTTCATGTCTCCTGCCACAATCCAGGTGCAAGCAGATATTATTTTGGACCTAAATTGCTGCAAAAACCTCATATTGTTCCTGCAGACACTCTCATCTTGCTGTAAACTATTTAACCAGTAGACAGCAAGATGTTTAAAACTTTTGATCATTTCTAATGTTAAACCTTTTCTTTGATAAATTATTGCTTTGGGAGAAGAATAAAAACTTTCTCAATATGTCAGGAAAAGTCTGATGTATTCTGGCTTTTAATAATTCTCCAACCCCATTATCTTTCCTGGAATGACCCCAATCTTAAATTTGCTTTGTTCCTTAATTGCCTGAAGTGTCTCTTCTATAAACATTTAATTAGAATGTCCATTTTTATAATCTTAATAGGAAAGAGTCTTTTACTCAGGATTCCCTTTTTAAATTTTTGCTTTTGTTTTGGAGAACCTCTCTCTCTCTCTCTCTCTCTCTCTCTCTCTCTCTCTCTCTCTCTTTTGGTAGCACTAGGGATTGAAACAATGGCCTTTGCACTGAGTTATAACCCTTGGCTCTTTTTTTCTTTGAGACAAGTTCTTAAAACTTTTACTTTGAGACAAGGTTTCCTTAAGTCACTAAACCGCCCAGGTGAGGTCTCGAACTTGTGATCTTCCTACTTCAGCCTTGCAGAGTGCTGGGATTACAGGCAGGTACCATGTGTCCAATTCTGGGACTCCTTTTAAAGAACACACCAAAAACTGCTTCCTTATCGCATTAGTCTCTTGTTATGTCATAGTATATTACAATAGTGATCACATAGATTTAAATTTTCTAAACAGCATCATGAACTCTTGGCCTCCTCAAGTTTGCCCCATAGTCTAATCTGATAATTATACAGATGTTTCATGGTTTTACTAAAAGATTTTTTATGGGGTTCCTACAGTGAGAATCACCATCTTGTTGATTATTCTTTGTTCATACCATCACTAGCCCATTAGAATAGCAAAAAGCTTGTGATACTCAGAAATATAATCACACATAGACTAGTTAAAACCAGATTGTGCTATGGGATAGTCACAATTACTCCTTATGCATATTTCCACCTCTGTTTTAATCTACAGAAAATGAGATGAAGAACATGAGGTGGGATAATCAAAGCACTGCATCTGAATTCGTTCTCCTGGGGCTCCCCATCCAGCTGGAAGAACAAGGCATGTACTACACCCTGTTCCTGGTCATGTACCTGACCACAGTGCTGGGGAACCTGCTCATCATCCTGCTCATCAGGCTGGACTCCCACCTCCACACTCCCATGTACTTCTTCCTCAGCCACTTGGCCTTTTCTGATGTCTCTTTATCATCTGTCACTGTCCCAAAGATGCTCATGAATATGCAGACACAGAGTCAATCCATCTCATATACTCAGTGCATTTTTCAGGAATTTTTTTTCTTAGTATTTGGTTGTCTTGACAGCTTCCTTCTCACCTCGATGGCATATGACAGGTATGTGGCCATCTGTCACCCCCTGCACTACATCACCATCATGAGCCAGAGACTCTGCTTCCTGCTAGTTATTGTGTCCTGGGTCTTATCCATTGCCATCGCCCTCGTGCACACTCTTCTCCTGCTCCGACTGTCTTTCTCTAGAGACAATACCCTGCACCACTTCTTCTGTGATCTCTCTGCCTTACTTAAATTGTCCAGCTCAGACACCACCATGAATGAGATGGTTATTCTCACTGTAGGAACTGTGGCCATTACCTTGCCATTCATATGCATTTTGGTGTCTTATGGTCACATTGGGGCCACCATCCTGAGAGCTCCCTCGACCAAGGGAATCTGCAAAGCCTTGTCCACTTGTGGCTCTCACCTCTGTGTAGTTTCTCTCTACTATGGAGCAATTATTGGGCTCTACTTTTTCCCCTCATCCAATAACAGTAATGAGAAAGATGTCATTGTGGCTGCATTGTACAGTCTGGTCACACCCATGCTAAATCCTTTTATCTACAGTCTGAGGAATAGAGATATGAAAGGAGCTCTGAGAAATCTACTTGGTAGGGGAAATTTTTCAGGGTAATGGGAACCACTCTTCGTATTAACTAGATGTAGTGGTTGATAGATTGTGTCAACTTGAGACATTTAGAAGTTTGACTAGGCAACTCAGCAGGGGGCCAGGCTCCTCACTTTGTAAACATCTTCTCATTGTGCAGGAGGAGGGCATAGAAATGGGGTGAGTGCTGCACACACCAGCCCCAGAGGGTGGTAGCCTGCTTATAACGCGAGGGAGGAAAAGAGGCTTGCTCTTCTCCTCTTTTGCTGTCTTCTGCCCCTCGAGTGACTGTCCCTCACAATGCCGCTGCCTCGGAGCCAGCTGATCACAGACTGTGAGCTGGGAAAACTTTCCTTCCTTCATTTTGCGTGTCAGGTATATTGTCTGAGCAAAAAGAAAAGTAAGACACTAGGTATGGGATCTTGTCAATATCTTACATCCATCCTTTCCTCTCTGATTTGCTGTTTAGTGACTACTGATGTGGCACTGTTTTTTTTAAAAAAAACTTGTCTTTTACCTTGGACATAGTTTTCCTCTCTGTTTCATGTCCTTGTTGACCTTGAGAGTCTTGGGATCGTTTCTGGAAGCCTACCTATTAAATTTCCTTTCCTTATATTATCCTTATTAGTATAGCATCTTTGTCCTGTAAAAAGATTTTATGCTTTTAAAAATATTTTCATCTTTTTTTTTTTGTTTGTTTTTTTTGGTGCCGGGGATTGAACTCATGACCTTGTGTTTTCCAAGCAGGCCTTACACCCCAGCCTTTTTCAAAAAAGAACTTTTTTTTCTCACAATAAAATTTTTTCCATTTGCTATGATTTTGTTTTTGTATTTAATTTCATAATAACACTTGAATTTATTTTGCTCATAGCCTTGCGTATGGTTTTTGTTTCTCTAATAACTTATTTATTCATTTTAATTGACAAAATTATACTTATTACTAGATACCACATAATGCTTTGATATATGCATATATTGTGTAATGTGCAAAGATAAAAAACTCATTTCTTTAAATGTATGTGATTCTTTTTTAGTGAAAATATTTAAAATTCTTTCTTGCAGCCTTTTTGGGACATACGGTATGTCTTCATTATTCTTAGGTAGCCAGGGTGTAATAGACCAGTAGGACTTATTTTTTTATCTGGATGTCTTATTAAACATTGACAAACTTTCCCCAGATATCCTTCTTTTCCCTGGATCTTCCCCTTCTAGTTATAATTTTCTTATTTATTGTTTGATGTTTTAAAAAGATGTGTTTTTTAAACTAATGATATGTACGTGTACAAACCTCCTCCCCACCAACTGAATGGGATCAAAATCAAAATTATATGGCTTTCTGGGGTTTTGTTTTGTTTTCTTTTTTCCCCAACACTGGGTCTCACCATATAGTTGAGCTCATGACATATAGTCTAGGATGGCCTCAAATTTGAAGCAGTCCTCCTATCTTTTCCTCTTGAGTGCTAGAATTACAGACATACGCAGCCACACCCAGCAAGACTGCTTTCAGTAAGTGACCAGGATAGTGGCACAGACAGCAAGATACAAGTCTTAAGCGGTGACTAAAAACTTGATTGTAGTCTTCTAAGTCCTAGATGGGTGAGCTGGATGTGAAGCACATCAGCGAGAGAAGGGATTATTACAGCTTTCCAGGTGGTACAGTGATGGTGGGTGGTCAGGGCATTCAGATAAGGAGGCTCAGCTTCTCCAGGTCCAGGCTATAGAAAGACCAGGCAAGATGTCAGGAGCACAGGCAACATGAACTGAGTTCAAGCAGGGCTTCAGTGTGGTTTATTCTGACTACATTTTATTTTTAAATGAACAATACAATGTAGTTCCTTACTTCTGCTCAAGGCAAAGAAACTTAACTTTCTTGCTATAAGCTGGTGACTGTCATGATATTTTGATATCCATTATTCAATTTAGTTCTAGTCTTTGTTATGAAGGTAGGATTAGTAACTCTCCCCATGTTACTAAGAAATATTTAACAGAAATGACCTCAAACTAATGAGGTCAAGCTCTGAGACCTATTAACTACCTAAATGTTTTTTCAAAGCTGAGCTGCTATCTTCCCATTTTATTGGAAAATTTGCTTTCCTCTTTATAAAAATGTTGAAGTAATATACAAACAAATGATATATAATTTATTTGTACACAGAATGTTGTAATTATGCATATGTTCATATATCTGTGGCATATAAATACACTTTTAAATATATTAAAATAAATTCTGATTTAAAACCTCTAGGTTTAAATAACAAAAAACTAACAATATTGTTGAAGTTTCTTTAGTCTCTCTTCAATTCTATCTTCTTTCCTCTTCAAGATATTTGGTGTCTTGAGTATTGTCAATAATCTTTTCTTCTTTGAATTTTAACTATTTTGATCTTTCAGTTTTGCTTGATGTAGAACACATGTAAAGGAATCAAGTTACATTTATCATGATAATTTTGCTTCAGTTATCCATTAGTGTCCTTGTAAATGCATTTTTATATATTCATATTTTGCTCTTATTGGGTCTAAGTATTTCAGGTCCTTTTTTTTTTTTTTTTTTTGCTTTGAGCATTTTGGTATTATGTGCTGGTTCAAAAATTCCTGTCTGTGTATCCAGTTTATGTATGTAAGAGACTGGAAACTAACCACAAGAATTACTGGATTGTAGAGAATGTGCATATCCAATTTACCTACCAGTACTAGAATCTTTACAAATTATTCATAGTGAAAAGTGAGTCTGAAAACGGCATATAACTATATGATTCCAACCATGTGACACCCTAGAAAATACAATTATAGAGATAATAAAATGATCAGAAAAGCTGAGAGTTTGATGTCAGGGAGGGGGACAGATAAACAGGCAGAACAGAGATTGTTAGGGAATAAACACTATTCTGTATTATGCCATAACAATCTGTCATGTATTTGTTGAAAGCAAGCCAACAAAGAAAAAAAATCCTCTATTACACAGACTTGATCCTAATGTGACCTATGAACTTTAGTTGATAACAATGTGTCAGTAGTTTAGTTGTAACAATCTAGTAGCAACAAATTTAGCTTAGTTGTAACAAATGAATTACACTATGACAATATGAATAAGGGAATCTAAGATATGAATAGGGAACCCTTGGAAAGGGGTAATGGAAAAAGTATATATGGATATTTTTCAATTTTTATGTAAACCTAAATTTTTAAAATTACTGTTGAATTCCTTTCTACTATTAGTGGCAATATAGCTGTCACAATAAGAATGTGTAAGCTGTAACTCAATGCTTGGATTCTCTTCATGTTTGCATCACAATACTAGATTTCTTCTGTAGAGTTAAGAATGATACATAATTGGCTTTCCTGGTATGTAGTATCCAATTCATCTGGGATGACACTACTGAAGTTGATTGGCTGTGTATTTCCAGGGTTGCATAATTGCCTTCCTATTAATTTTTTTTCCTGTAAGCCAACACCCAGATGACATTTATTGTGAGAGACTGCCAAGCTGTGCTCCTCAGAGAAACAAAACTCCCTGCCCTGTCCTTCCCTGACCTCTCCTTCATTCTACTCACTGAGATTTGCAGAGCTGCCTATATTGAAACAAATGTTTCCTTAAATGGCTAAAAGAATGTTATGGAGTCCAGCCAAAGCACCAGTGGTCTCATTAATTGCAAAGTGGTACAAGATTGCCCTTTCTCATCACAGCCAATCCCTGCAAACTTCCTTTCCTCCTAGCACTCTGCTACGCTACCTACTTCCTTGATTGAACCAGTAACAGCCATGAGCTTTTGGACATGAGGCCTTTTGTTCCACAGAGAACATTGGATCTTCCCAGAGCTCCTCACTGCAGAATATTCTCTTCTTTATTTTGCATCCATGTGCCATATTACTGGGTGGGTTGGGCCCACCTCCATGGGACTTTCCATAATTTGTGACATTAACCATACTAGGATGCGTTTCCAGAGAACTTGGCTTTGGGCCAGTTGCTCTACATTGTCCCCTGTCAGATTAACTGAGGTGGTCGGACCTCAGGGTGGAGGCAAAAGACTATAGTCAGTCATGTCAAAACTGACTAAAATCGACTGTCCACATCAATGAAAATTGACTAAAGTTATCTCTGCACTACAACAGTCTTTACATAACAAACATTCAAAAACATCAGCATGTAACAAAACAAACAAACTTAACAAAACAATAGAAAAATGGGAATACAAGTCAACAAAATGCCTCCTAAAGCTCACAACACTCAATGCAGAGGGCTTCATGGTAGAGAATAGCATAAAGCACCCACCTTAATTACCAGAAAGGTTAACAGAAGAGATCAGAAAACAGATCAAAGGAGTTTCCAGTGGGATTTCAAAACATGGAACTAACCAGATGATGGAAGTAATACACTAATAAAAAGCTACCTGAGAAAACAAAACAAAACAAAACATGAAAGATCAGTTTGGTAAAGAACTACAGCCCATGAAAAAGTTCAAGTCAGAAATACGGGAGATTAAAAATTGTCTTGAAAGTATGGGCAGCAGAAGGGACCAAAATGAAGACAAAGGATTATAATGAGAAGACCAGCTATCCAGAAACATCTTAAAAGCAATAAGAGAACATGAAACATGGGTCCAGTATCTGTTAGCTGACACGAAAATGACTGATCTAAGAATGATCATAATTAGTGACAATTCAGAGGAAAATACAAACGACGTTTAAAACCTCTTCACAGAAATAATGGCAGAAAATTTCCCACACGTAGGAAATTATTTTCTTTCAGGACTTGGAATACTTTACTCCAAGCTCTTCATGAGTTGATGGTTTGAGAAGTCTGTCATGATTCTGAATTTTTTCCTTTATAGGTGATCTGTTTCTTTTCTCTTACAGCTTTTAATATTCTGTTCTTGTGTTGAATTTCTAAGATCTTGATTATTATATATCAAGGTGTAGATTTATTTTGGTTGTGGCTAGCTGAAGCTTATATGCCTCACTTATCTGTATGTCATGTCCTTTTCCCATGCTTGAGAAGTTTTCCACTATTACTTCTTTTTTATTTTATT